AGTGGTCCCTAAAGTAAAAGCAGCTTCTATAGCAGGAACTTGCCTAGGAGGCCAGGAGGACTTTTCTTACCCTTCACACTAACCAGGAATCCATGAGATGTACGTATAGGCATTCCCAAAACACTGCAATGAACACCCCAGTGTGTGCAGTCCCATCTGTAGATCAAATGTGGCACTTACACACATTTAAATAGAAAACTGACCTTGTCGCCAGATGGGATACCTGCATGCTTCCATCAATCATGGCTCATCTTTCTTAAGGGCTAGCTCTGAACTAGGCACTGTGCTGTGCATCTGCTATGGATTATCCCATTAAATTCTTACAACACTCCTTTGAGATACATAAAACTAGTTTCACCTCCATTTTACAAAGGAAGAAACTCACTCAGAGAGTTTGATTAACTTGCATGAAAGGAGAGATCCAAACCTGGGCAGTCAGAGCCAAAGCCTGTGCTCTTAAACTTTCCTTCTCATCAACTTCATTCAATAGCAAACAAACTCCTATTCTTGGTCCTGGGCCAGGTCTGCTTTGTCTCAGACCAGTGGCGCCTACCTTCAGCACAGACCAGCGTCAAGAAGGGAGATGGTACAACTGAGTTGGAAATTAGGCTGTGTACAATGAAGTGGCTCAGGCATGGGGATAAGGGTGGGGTGCTGACAGTGTCTGATAAAAGCACCCACTGGGCCGGGGGCGGTGGCTCATGCTTGTAATCCTAGCACTTTGGGAGGCTGAGGTGGGCGGATTGCCTGAGCTCAGGAGTTTGAGACCAGCCTGGGCAACACAGTGATACCCCCTCTCTACTAAATTACAAAAAACAAACAAACAAACAAAAAAACAAATAGCTGGGCATGGCTGTGGGCGCCTGTAGTCCCAGCTACTTGGGAGGCTAAGGCAGGAGAATGGCGTGAACCTAGGAGGCAGAGCTTGCAGCGAGCCGAGATCACACCACTGCACTCCAACCTGGACGACAGAGCAAGACTCCATCTCCAAAAAAAAAAAAAAAAAAAAAAGGCACCCACTGTCCCTAAGAGAGAACACATGCTAAAATTCTGGCTCTTCCCAGCTGCTGCCTGGAGAGCACATAGGCATGTGGCCTGCCTTCTAAGTTATCACAAATGTCTACTGAGTTTTGCAAATATTCTGGCCTGTCATGAGAACAATCTCCAGCTCCCCGCCTTGCAGTTGCAGTGTCTGTTTGCTGACCTCCTGCTGTTCACAAGTACACACACACAAACACACACACACACATTTTACGGAATCACCCCAGTACTGAGGTGCCCATTTCTATATTGGGTAGGGTAAAGCTAAACAGCCAACAAAGAGACCCAGTAAATAATTCAGTGGCTGAAAGAAGATAGAAGTCTCTCTCTCACATTATAGCCCAAGAGGAGCATTTGAGGTCTGAAGGCGGATTTGTTCTAAGCAGTCATTTAGAGGCTCAAGTTCTTTCCACCCTGTTGCTCTGTTATCCCCAGGACCTTGTTGTCATGGGCATGGTCCAGCCTTATGAAAACTGTAAGGTACAGTAAAGCATTTACTGAAAATACAGGTGGTTCCATTCCCTGAATCCCCAGTAGCTCTAACTTCCTTGCCTTGATTGAGACAGACAGCTGACCAACTTCTGAAGATTAGGGAACAGCCATGCCAGGGTTCCTGCTGCTACCATAGATGCTGGCAAAAGAACGACTCAAACTAAGTGCAAGGTATAAGCTGTTAGAAGTTGATTAAGGGGCCAGGCGCGGTGGCTCAAGCCTGTAATCCCAGCACTTTGGGAGGCCGAGACGGGCGGATCACGAGGTCAGGAGTTCGAGACCATCCTGGCTAACACGGTGAAACCCCGTCTCTACTAAAAAATACAAAAAAAAAACTAGCCGGGCGAGGTGGCGGGCGCCTGTAGTCCCGGCTACTCGGGAGGCTGAGGCAGGAGAATGGCGTAAAAACCCGGGAGGCAGAGCTTGCAGTGAGCTGAGATCCGGCCACTGCACTCCAGCCTGGGCGACACAGCGAGACTCCGTCTCAAAAAAAAAAAAAAAAAAGAAGTTGATTAAGGGTGCACATCTTCCCTCATTATTCAGTCCGCACCTAGTTTATTCCTTCCCATAGTTATAACAGCAAAAGCTATGAGGAGAATAGCTCCAAGGACGGATGGGAGAAACACAGATGAACTGCCCATTAATCCTGGAAAGGCCTCTGGGTTGATCAGGAGATCCTCTGTATGGTAACACAAAGGGTAATGCACACCAGACACCATTATCATCTGAATGCTCACAACCCACAAATCCTGCATCTCATGGGAGCAGTGTTCTTGTGCTTAAGAAGGCTCCATCACAGACACATAAAAATACATGTAAAAATAAAGTGACTATGTTCAGATGTCCCTTGGCCACATTACCTATGTCTCACTCCAGGGAAGATAAGGAGGGCTTTTCAGAGCCTCTCAGGGTCATGCGGGTATATGTACTTGTAGCAGTTTCTCTAATTCTGAGTTTGCAAGCCTTGCAGACTGACCTGAAGAAAATGGCTGTGACTGTCGAACACGTTTGCCATGTGGTTTAGTCTGGGTTCATTTCAGCTGGTCTGGATTGACTGCGTGCTTATCTCCAGAGCTGTCTAGTGCATGATAGTGACCTTAGCTAAAACTATGAAATGCATTCACTAAAGATAAACAACGTGTTTTAACCATGGGTTCATGAGTAGTTTCCCGAAAGGATGTACCAGTCTACCTGCAATGTTTAGTAATCATAATAATTATTATATGTATCTGATGTTGGTGAAGCCTGGGGGGTTTTGACCTTTAAGGCTGGCCATGTAGCTGAAATGGGCTAGGGGACCAGCTCACTAGAAGAGACCCTCACTACAAGTAGACCTGGGTTTCCAGTTCTCAGATTCTTTGTGTGAACACTGATGGTGTCTGAGACCTATAAACCAAGCATGTTGTGTGTGACTCACAATGGGAAGACAAAGAAGCTGTGCCTGAGATCTCCAGATCCCTTTTGATACTCTTCTCTCTCTTGCAGTTGCAGTATTGTACCCTTTACCTGTAATAAAGCTGTCTGAGTATAAACCCAGCACCTTAAGTATAACACTTAAGGTAATTAATGTGTAATTAATGCACATATTCTTCTTGATACACCTGAATACTCATATGTCACCCAGACCACTAAGTGATATACTTGTCCTTGGCCATCAGTCTGGTACACTGGAAAGGTACAGGCTCATTATAAGGGTATGATGAGGGTTTTCTACTATAACTCTCTGGACTCCATAAACGTCACCAAATATAATTCAGGTTATCTTTTCTACCTGTGTGTGAGGTGTCACAGCACAAAGCTCACTCCAGGCAGCCAGAGGAAAGTGAGTGCTGGGCAGGTTGAGGCAAGTATGAATAATCTTCTGACATCAGACCCTTTCTTGGAAGCTTTATTATTGGTAGGCTTAATCCAGTTCCATCTGAGCCTACATCAAAAGTGGAGAAGAATCAGTTTGGGGAGCAAAAAAGTAGGAGTGAATTTGGTGCAAGGGGTGCACGTTAAAGCATAGCATTCCAGGAACCCATTTAAAATGGGTCCTGGGCTTCAAGAGAGTGAGCAGGGTAGGATATTCCCCAGGGAATCACCTGCGTAGGCGTGAGAGGTAGCACCATGGACCACCTCTCCAAGGAGGAATGCAGATGAAAAATGGGATGAGCACCTGGGACAGAGCCATGTGGATGGGACAGAAAGATTCAGGAGGAGAGGTCAGAGGGGCCAGAGGGCTTGCTGGGCAAGCATACATAACTTTAAAAAAAGCAATAACTTGGCCGGGGGAGGTGGCTCACGCCTGTAATCCCAGCACTTTGGGAGGCCGAGGTAGGTGGATCACCCGAGGTCAGGAGATCGAGACCAGCCTGCCCAACGTGGTGATACCCATCTCTGTATTTCTGTAAAAATACAAAAATTAGCTGGGTGCGTTGGCGGGCACCTGTAATCCCAGCTACTCGGGAGGCTGAGGCAGGAGAATTGCTTGAACTGAGGAGGCGGAGGTTGCAGTCCGCGGAGATCACGCCATTGCACTCTAGCCTGGGCAACAGAGCAAGACTGTCTCAAAAAACAGACAAACAAAAAAAAAGTAATAAATTATTAAGAGGAAATTCACATAACATTGACCATTGTAAAGCAGGCAATTCAGTACATTCACAATGTTATACAACCACCAGCTCTAGTTCCAAAACCTTCCCATTACCCCAGACAGAAATCCTGTGTCCTTTAAATGATCACTCTGCATTCCCCTCATTTCCAGCTTCTGGCAACCCCTAAGCTGCTTTCTGTCTATGAATTTGCCTATTGTGGACATTGCATATAAATAGAATCCTACAATATGTGCCCTTTTGTGAATGAGCTTCTTTCTCCTAGCATAATGCTTTCAAGGTTCATCCATGTTGTAACATGAATCAGTCCTTCATTCCTGTTGATGGCTGAATCATATTCTATCAGACTGATAGACCACATTTTGTTTCTCTGTGCATCTGTTGGTGGGCACTTGGGTTGTTTCCACCGTTTGGCTATCGTGAACAGTGCTGAAAACATGGGTCTACATGTGCTTGTTTGAGTTCCTTTTTTCCATTCTTTTGGGTGTATACCTAGGAATGGAATTGTGAGGTCATACGGTAATTTTCTGTTTAACTTCATACATAATTTTCAAGCTCACCCGCATCAGCGGTTGGCAATTAGAAGGTTGTTGGCGAGAACTGTCAGTCAGCTGAGAGTCCTATACCCATAAAGAGGGAGTAGTAGGGGATGCCTGCCTCATTTCAAGCTGTGGGAAAGCGGCTTCAAAGCGGCCCCTCAAGCAGCTTTTATTTGTTCCTTGTAAATTGGAGAACATGATACACCTGAGAGCTCCAAAGGGCTCCAGGTCGTAGCGGATGGTGTCCCTAATGGCTGCTCGAGGTTGGCCTCCTCTCCTGAGATTGTGAGCACAAAGCATGTGTGGGACCCATGGAGCAGAGAGGGACTTCACATTTAAGAGGGATGGTGTAAGGTTTTATTAATCCTGGTTACAACCACTGCCTTGGAGAGGTGAGGTACGGAACAAGAGCACAACCAAGCTGGAGGTTGGCTCCTGCATGCAGAGGAGTTGCAGATGGATTCTAAGCAACCAGGAAAAGCAGAAGTGCCTCCTCCCATGCCCGGGGAGGATCCCATCCGCCAGAGGGTGAATTTCCAAAACCATGTATCTCATGACAGTATTACTCAGGTAAGGTCCTACCCCACCTCCCTCCCAGTTATTGTACACTCCCAACCCTGGAGAGGACAGAAACTTCTCTAAGTAACTTGGAATGAGAGCTAGAAGCTCAAGTTGGGAGAGCAGTTACCCAAGCTTCCCATTCTTCCTCACTGCAGACGTGCAGCCCAGAGCTCCTCAGAAAGACGCTGGAAGGCTTTTTTGTTTTTAAACTTGTGCTGGACAGGACTTATTAAGTTCTGAACTGGAACGAGTTGTTTTCATTTCTGTGAGTGACACACCCAGCCTTGAATTTCATCCAAGGCCTTGGAAGATAAAAATTAAGTTGTTGATAATTAATTATCTCCTGTTATGGAGTAAATGTTTGCATACCCCAAAATTCATATGTTGAAATCCTGAACCCCAATCTGGTGATATTAGGAGGTGGGGTATTTGGGAGGTGACTGGGTCACAAGGATGGAGCCCTCATGAATGGCATTAGTGTTCTTATAGAAGAGACCTCAGAAAATAATAAATAAAATTAAAAAGGGACCGCAGAGAGATCTCTTCCTCCTTCCATCATATGAGGACACAGCCAGAAGATGGCCGTCTATGAACAGGAAGCAGGCCCCCATTAGACACCGAATTTACCAGTGCATTGATCTTAACACTCCCCAGCCTCTAGAACTTTCAGAAACATTTATTCTGTTTATAAGCTTCCCAGTCTATGGTATTCAATTATGGCAGCCTGAACTGACTCAGACGTATCCCAGAAGTTGTACCTGTTCCAAGTGGTTAAACTTTTGTTACTTACCCTCCTTAAGAACAAAGCTCGTGACTTTCTCCATATCTGTTGCTTTTGTACCAGAGTCTGGCATGCAGAGGCACTGAGTACATGTTCTCTCTTTGTGTGTAAACTCTGTTTACTTCCGCATCATGCACTCCAGCCGGAACTCAGCAAGCAAACACAAGGTTGCTTCACAGCCCTAGGCCTGGAGGCTACTGCAGCAAAGGGTGAGACATTCTATGCCCTTCCTATGGGGACAGGTAGGGAGTGAATCTTTTACTCTGCCACCTCCTTTCCCCTGTCAGCAGAGACTAACAGAATGGACATTCTGTAGACTGGATAGGAAAATGGAGCTGAAAGTTACTTATCTTGCAAAAATGTCCTAATCTCCCCGAAACTAGTAAGCAATTCTCTGTGTCTCTGTCCAAACGCTTGGGATGCTAAGGTGGATTTTTTTTTTTTTTTTTTAACTCAAAAAAAAAAAAAAAAAATGTTTACAAGGGGAAATCTACCAAATGTGACTTCTCCATACTGATCACCCATTAAGGCAGGGGGTAGACTCTTATCACAAATAGTGGTTCTCAAAGTTGAGTGTGCATCAGAATCCTATGGAGGGCTTGCTACAACAGACTGCTGGCCCTTCCCTCTTGAGTTTCTGAGTCAACAGGGCTGGGTGTGGCCAAATAATTTTCATTTTGGACATATTTCCAGGTGACCCCGATGCTGCTGGCTTGCAGAATACACTTTAGAACCACTGAGTGAGACATAGGAGATTTGTTGGGATTCAAAATCACTCTGAAATTAACCACCCTAACATTTTCAAAGTGTCTGAAAAATACCCTGAAAATAACTCTTTGCCCACCCTCCTCACCTCTGGCTAAATACCTGAGAGAGGTTTTTCAGGAGTTTCTTGCCCAAATCATTCCAGGCCCTCGCCCTGAAGCCTGCCTCGTTATAATCACTGAGTCCTCTCTGATCTTCATATGACTTCCAGTTCATCTCAAGAATAATGCTGAAATTAGAGAAACTCCAAGACAGGAAGTCATCAGCACACTTCTGGTTCCATGTAATGATGAAAGGCAGACAGGTCTGCCCTAGTGAGGAAGCTCAGGGTTTTCCAAAGCTTTGGGATGAGGAAGCTGCATCCCAAAAGAGGGTCCTCTGAGATGGTTCTCAAGGATACAGCAGGGCCTCTTATCAGGACCTACCTGTTGGTAGGAGGGACAAAAAGGATCTTCTGGCCTACAGTCTTTTTCAGAGCCTTATCTGGGTGACTTCCTTGCCTTCTACTCACAGAGCTGGTGTGATAAAATACTCATGGGGCTGCCTCCCCCATAGGACCCTCGCCAACCCCTTCTCCCGATCATGGGAACTCAAGTGGAATATAAGAGTGGCACCCAAAGAAGGAGGGACATGAAGATTCCCACAATTCTGTGCTCAGCCTCACAGAAAAGCCTCTATCCATCGAGCAAATTTGTACCTCTGTTTATAATCAGTGTGGTCCTAAGGCAGTGGGTCTCAATGCTGAATCTTAGAATTCTAGAATCACCAGGGGGAGCTTTCAAAAAATACCCATGCTTGAAACCAGCTTACCCAGACAGGTATCTGTAAAAAAAAGAGGGGTAGGGAGATTTAAAGAGAAATAGAAGCAAATGTCCATGAAAGGATGTGTAAAATGAAAAATGCTTGCTGTATGCATATGGCAAAAAGTAGAAACAGGAGAATGGAAAAATAAATTGTGGTTAATTACCGGGAAGAGATTGAAGGTGATTTTCTAGAATTCTCAAAATGTATATCTTGATCTGTGTCACACAGGTGTGTAGGTATCTGTATCTGTGAAAATAAGCAGATATAGATGTAGATATAGGCATAGACATGGTTTGACTGTGTCCTCACCCAAATGTCAACTTTTTTTTTTTTTTTAGGTGGAGTCTTACTGTATCACTCTGTTGCCCAGGCTGGAGTGCAGTGGCATGATCTCGGTGCACTGCAACCTCTGCCTCCAGGGTTCAAGCAATTCTCCTGCCCCAGCCTCCTGAGTAGCTGGGACTACAGGTATAGGCCACCACGCCTGGCTAATTTTTGTATTTTTAGTAGAGACAGGGTTTCACCATGTTGGCCAGGCTGGTCTTGAACTCCTGATCTCAAGTGATCTGCCTGCCTTGGCCTCCCAAAGTGCTGGGATTACAGCTGTGAGCCACCATGCCCAGCCCCAAATCTCATCTTGAATTGTAGCTCCCATAATCCGCATGTGTCATGGAAGGGAGCCAGTGGGAGGTAATTAAATCATGGGGGCGGGTTTTTCTTGTGCTGTTCTCGTGATAGTAAGTAAGTCTCATGATATCTGATGGTTTTATAAAGGGCAGTTCCCCTCCACTTGCTGTCTTGCCTACTGCCATGTAAGATGTGCCTTTGCTCTTTCTTTACCTTTTGCCATGATTGTGAGGCCTCCCCAGCCATATGGTACTGTGAGTCTATTAAACCTCTTTTTCTTTATAAATTACCCATCTTGGGTATTTCTTCATAGCAGTATGAAAATGGACTAATACATACATAATACATAATAGCTAATACATAAGCTATATTCAAGATTAGCATACTTCCCACACTTTACATAGTTTATGCCTTGATCAACAGAAACAAAGAATGCCAATGCTCAAGCCCTACTTCAGAGATTGTCATTTAATTGAATATTTTCCAAGCTTCCTGATGATTCTCTTGTGCAATCACTGTTGAGAAACACCGTCTCAGAGCATAAGGCCACCTTGGTCTGGGCCCAAGGTTAGTAAAACAAAAAGAGGCCTTGTAGGCCATCTAAATCTGGCTCGACTCATCAGGGTTTTGCCACGTATTTCCTCTGCACACGTACCCTTTGGGGACTGGCAGTGTGCCTGACTGGTCGGGGTCTTCTCATTGATCTTGTTAATTTGTGGCAATGCTCAGTAGAGAGGATCCTGGGATTTGGGCAGGGGCATCCCTGCAGTCCTCAGGTTGTGAGTGCAGCCACTGGTATCGTGAGCAATGCTTTCAAAGGAGAGTAAGGCTCCTCCAGTCTTGGGGGAGAATCCAGCAAGTGGATTCTGAAACTGGCAGAGAAAGGGACCCATGGCAAGAGAGAGACAGGTCTTGCTCTCAGAACCCTCCCACCACAAGAGCACCTGCATTTCCTTTTTTTTTTTTTTTTTTTGAGGTGGAGTTGCCCAGGCTGGAGTGCAGTGGCAAGATCTTGGCCCACTGTAACCTCCACCTCTCAGGTTCAAGCTATTTTCTTGCATTAGCCTCCCTAGTAGCTGGGATTACAGGTACACACCACCATACCTGGCTAATTTTGTATTTTTAGTAGTGACGGTGTTTCACCATGTTTGCTAGGCTGGTCTCGAACTCCTGACTTCAGGTGATCCGCCTGCCTCTGCCTCCCAAAATACTGGGATTACAGGTGTGAACCACCATGCCTGGCACACTTGCATTTCTTGTAAAGAGAAGCAGTTCCTGCATTGGGAGAAAATGTGCTAATCTGGATCTGGGGCTGATACTGATTTTGAGAGCCAGTTCAGCCCCCCTTAAAAACACCTGGGGTTTGGGTTGGCAGAAGACACAGCGTTTGCCACGACCAGCTTTTTCCTCCTTCTCCTATTTCTCAGCCAGGGCTCAGGGGCTGGTACGCTACCAAGTCTTAATTATGATCCTGGATTTGAGGAATTCAGGGGGTGGATTCACACAGGGTGGGAGAGTTATCAGCAAGCAGGCAGAGGGGAAATACAAGGATTAATAACACAGAATAAATCATAGTTAATTACTGGGAAGAGACGGAAGGCAACTTCAGTGGTTGTATCATCTTATTGGATGGAATCGGAGGGGGAAATTTAATGTAATTGTCACAAACACAAGGCCAAGAAAAAATATTACAAGTTCAGTTCCTTGAACTTTCTGTTTCTAGGAAGTGTGTTGTTCATTAGCTGTGGGAGAAACACAATCACAGCTGGCGAAAGCTTTCAGAATTTACGTGCAGACAGAAAATGCTGGAAGTCATGACTTTCTCAATAAGGAAGTGACCTGAAAGAATGTTTGTGAAGAATGTGGAGGGTCAACCAGCACCTCAAAGGCTGGGGAAAGGTGAGGTTTTATGAAGAAGAATTTAGGAAAAGTCTTAGGATTCTCTCTAGCCTCCAGTTAGAAGCAGCAATTTTACCATTGGCAGTTTCAATTCAAAAATATTTGGAGGGTAGATTTCCCAGCTATGATGTTATAAAAATAAGTGAAGGGAAGGAGTCAGGAGGAGATAGTTTAACATTGTTAAGAGTTTAGACTCTGAAAAAAAGAAAGAAAGAAAGGCTGGGTGCAGTGGTTCACACCTATAATCCCAGCACTTTGGGAAGCTGAGGCAGGCGGATCACCTGAGGTCAGGAGTTTGAGACCAGCTAGCCAACATGGTGAAACCCCGTCTCTACTAAAAATACAAAAATTAGCCGAGCGTGGTAGCTCATACATGTAATCTCAGTTACTCAGGAGGCTGAGGCAGGAGAATCGCTTGAACCTGGGAGGAGGAAGTTGCAGTGAGCCAAGATCTTGCCACTGCACTCCAGCCTGGGCCACAAACCAGAGCAAGACTCCGTCTCAACAATAATAATAATAGTAAAAAAGAGTTTAGGCTCTGGTATGTGGCTTGTGGCTGCCTGAGTTTGCTGTTTCCTTGTGCAATTTGCTAGCTGTGCTACCTTAAGCAAGTGATATCACCTTGCTAGAATTTTTACCTTCAATATGGGGCACCCTACTCACAAGCTGGGGTGCAGGGATTTTTAAACAAATAAGATGAACAGAAGAAGCATCCTCTCAGGAAGAACCTGAGGCTGGAGGTGCCGCTGGAGAAGATTTATAATTTTTCCGGACTAAAAGAATTTCAGATGCTTCTCTCAAAACCCAAGAAAACCAAGTAAAAATTAATGTTTTTCAAATATGAAAGTTCAAAACAGGGACCAGACATAAAGTATTGCTCTGAGACAGGTCTGAAACAATTTATGAGTTAATTTTTCCAAGGTTAAGGATATGCCCAGAAGGAAAAATACGGAATCACAGACACAGTCTGTGTGGTCTGTGCCTTTCTCCAAAGATGACTCCCAGGACTTCACTATTTAAAGGGGAAGAGCAGCTGGAGGGGAAAGAGGGAGGGTCTGGAAATCTACAAGTTGCAAGGGAAAAGGACTAGGTAGGGGAATAGTCAATTATGGATTTGTCTCACAAAGAGTAAATCAGTGTTTACATAAGATAAGGTGAAAGCAGAGTAGCTGCCTGTGGAGATATTTAACATTTTATCTGTAGCTATCTGTTTAGGAACAAAAGGAAAGGCAGTTTCATGTATGACTCAGCTTTTAGCATTTTTTTTTTTTTTTTCCTTCTGGCAGAGTGATTTGAGGTCCTGAGTTTTAATTTTCCTTTCACAGTATTAACTAGGGCCATGACCCAACCCCTCTCTGAGGCAGTTTCTCCCACCACTATGGGGACATGTCCTAGATGGGTGTGACATTCTGAGGGAGTTTGACTCTAGCTCCCCCAAGGACGGAAGGAGCTGGATTTTTTTTTTTTTTTTTGGGGGGGACGGAGTCTCGCTCTGTCGCCCAGGCTGGAGTGCGGTGGCCAGATCTCAGCTCACTGCAAGCTCCGCTTCCCGGGTTCACGCCATTCTCCTGCCTCAGCCTCCAGAGTAGCTGGGACTACAGGCGCCCGCCACCACGTCCAACTAATTTTTTTGTATTTTTTTAGTAGAGACGGAGTTTCACCGTGTTAGCCAGGATGGTCTCGATCTCCTGACCTCGTGATCCACCCGCCTCAGCCTCCCAAAGTGCTGGGATTACAGGCTTGAGCCACCGCGCCCGGCCGGAGCTGGACTTCTTAGTTCCCTTCTCTCTACTCATCCCCACCAACCTCCCCCTTGGCCACTGTGGAGAATCTTCCTCCCCCACACACATGTGCACACAGAGGTACTAAGGAAGTCCTAGTTTGTGAGTGAGCAGGGACCTTGGAATAAGTCCTTTCCTAAGGTAGGGTCTTAAGTTGGTATCTCCCCAGGAGACTGAGTGCCTAGAGGGAGGGCGAGGAGACAGCTACAGGCAAGTTGCAATATTTTCTCTACATATCCTGCCTGGAATCAAGATGCCCAGGAAATAGCCGGGCATGGTGGCTCATACCTGTAATACCTGCACTTTGGGAGGCCAGGGTGGGCTGATCACGAGGCCAGGAATTCAAGACCAGCCTGGCCAACATGGTGAAACCCCGTCTCTACTAATACAAAAATTAGCCAGGCGTGGTGGCGCGTGCCTGTAGTCCCAGCTACTCAAGAGGCTGAGGCAGGAGAATCGCTTGAACCTGGGAGGAGGCAGAGGTTGCGGTGAGCCAAGATTGCGCCACTGAGGGAAAAAAAAAAAAAATTTCAAAGGCCCAGGAAAGAACTTCTGGACTTAGAAAGTGGCTGGAGTTTTGTATTTTTTGTATTTTTAGTTGGGATGGGGTTATCACCATGCTGGCCAGGCTGCTCAAACTCCTGACCTCAGGTGATCCACCTACCTCAGCCTCCCAAAGTGCTGGGATTACAGGTGTGAGCCACCATACCAGGGCAGGGTTCTGCTTTCTATGACCCACCTTAGGGAAGAGGCATTCTAGTATCTATGGCTAGCCCGGGGGGAGAATGGCACTGAGAGACAGGAGGGCAGGAGAAGGTCAGAGAAAACCTTTTGCTTCTGAGGCCTTCTCTTGGGGGCACTGTTTTCTGAGCCACAATAGGGACATTCAGTGTTTGTATGGAGCTAATTCCCTCTTCTCCTCTCCATGGAATTAAACACCTGACTAAGGCCGGATGCTACGGCTCACGCCTGTAATCTCAGCTCTTTAAGAGGCTGAGACAGGTGGATCACTTGAGCTAAGGAGTTCGAGACCAGTCTGGGCAACCTAATGAGACCCTGTCTCTACAAAAAATACAAACATTAGCTGGGCGTGGTGGCATGCACGGATAGTTCCAGCTACTCAGGAAGCTGAGGTGGGAGGATTGCTTGAGCCTGGGAGGTTGAGGCTGCAGTGAGTTGTGATCGCACCACTGCACTCCAGCCTAGGTAACAGAGTGAAACTCTGTCTCAAAAAAAAAAAAAAAAAAAAAAGAAAAAGAAAAAAAGAAAAACACACATACACACACACCCCACCTGACTATTCTTCTCAAAGCCAAAGGGGAAAGAGAGAGGGCAAAGAACATTTCTTTTTTTTGTTGAGACAGAGTCTCGCTCTGTCACCCAGGCTGGAGTGCAGTGGCAGGATCTTGACTCACCACAACCTCCGCCTCCCGGGTTCAAGTGATTCTCCTTGCCTCAGCCTCCTGAGTAGCTGGGATTACAGGCACAAGCAACTAAGCCCGGCTAATTTTTGTATTTTTGGTAGAGACAGGGTTTCACCATATTGGTCAGGCTGGTCTCGAACTCCTAACCTCAGGTGATCCACCTGCCTTGGCCCCCCGAAGTGCTGGGATTGCAGGCATGAGCCACTGCACCCAGCAGAACCTTTCTTTTAAAGATGGTACTGTCGGCCTGGAGAGGTGGCTCACACCTGTAATCCCAGGATTTTGGGAGGCCAAGGCAGGTGATCATCTGAGGTCAGGAGTTCAAGACCAGCCTGACCAACATGGCAAAACTCTGTCTCTACTGAAAATATGAAAAGTAGCCGGGCATGGTGGCGTGCACCTGTAATCCCAGTCACTCGGGTGGCTGAGGCAGGAGAATCGCTTGAACCCAGGAGTCGGAGGTTGCAGTGAGCCACGATAGTGCCATTGCACTCCGGCCTCGGGAACAAGAGCAAAACTCCACCTCAAAAATAAATAAATAAATAAAGTAGTGTCTGCAAGAATGAAGACTGACACATTACCCTCCCACTAGATGACTGGTCAGGAGAAAGGAGAGACTTCAGTGGAAACAGAAGAGTATAGAATGGCCAGAAAGAGAAGGTGCAGGGATGATCACCTCGCACAGGTGCAGAACATGCCTGCTGCCTATGAGTCTACAGGCTGAGCTGGGCTAGCAGAGGTAGATGAACTTGGGGCAAAGGGTAAAAAGAATGGTCTCCTGATGCAATGGGGTGGAGGCAGCTTGACCAGGCATAACCATCTTCCCAAGGGACCACCCCCCCCAAGCTAGCGGGCTGCTTGGGATAAGTCCCTCCTCAGCAGGAGCCCATTGGGGCCACCACGTATCCATACCAAACCTATAGATGACAAGCCAGGCCAGCGTAAATGGCCAAGGGAAGAGACCAAAACTACGCCATGGCCAGCCACGTAAAGGGCTATCTGTGCTTCTTCTCCATCCTTCCTATCCCCTTGTCAAAAATCTGTGTAAACAGAGAAAGAAGAATGTGGGAATGAGCCGCTCCCTCCAGCCTTAAAGGCATCAGTCAAGGCTGTGCTGGGAGGAGGTGGAGCTTGGTAGACTCTGACTTGACTATGCGATGAACTTTGACATTTGAACGGTTCCAAGTTTTACCAACTGAAATGAACGGCTTCAATGTCAGGGAGTGACTGAAAAGTTAGGGAATCCGACTGAGATAGTGTGAGGGCAGCCTATCCCCTAGTGAGGAAGAAGCTGTTAGACCCAGCTGAATTGGTAGCTGTTCTTGGAAAAAACCTTTTCTGTTTCTAGCTTAGGGAAAACGTCTGTCCTCCACATTCCTCACCACCCCAGGGAAGATTATCTCCTTCACTTAAACTGGTAAATCTGTGGCTCTGAGATTTGGCTCTGAAATCTCTGACTTTAATTCATCTAATAAAGGTCACACCTCTGCCAACAGCAGTGCCCAGACTGGACCCTGATCAGTCCTCCTCCTACTAGGGGAGACTGAAGCATGGTGCGTACCAGGCAGCCACATGGGGAGTCCTCACTGGGAAATGGAAGCCTGGGGGAACCCTAGGTAAAGGTGGCCTGCCTGATGCAGGACTTACAATGTGAGCTGGTTTTTTTCTACCTTAGGAAGAGAAGAGGAAAACCTTCTTTTGCTAATGTTATCGGTGGAGACCATCCCAGGCTCTTGGCATTTTGAACAAAGACTTGACCAGCCAGTGGCTGTGTGGCCTAATGGGTAAGGCATCTGACTTTGGATCAGAAGATTGCAGGTTTGAGTCACTGCCATGGTCATGGAGGGGTTATTTCTATCTTTTGCTGGGCGCGGTGTCTCATGCCTGTAATCCCAGTGCTTTGGGAGGCCGAGGAGGGCAGATTGAGGTCGGGAGTTCGAGGCCAGCCTGGCCAACATGGAGAAATTCCATCTCTACTAAAAATACAAATTAGCCGAGCATGGTGGTGCATGCCTGTAATCCCAGCTACACGGGAGGCTGAGGCAGGAGAAAAAAAAAAAAAAAAAAGATGTAATTACTGGCCGGGTGCGGTGGCTCTCACCTGTAATCCCAGCGCTTTCGGAGGCCAAGGCAGGCAGATCACCCGAGGGAGGTCAGGAGTCCGAGACCAGCCTGGCCAACATGGTGAAACCCCGTTTCTACTAAAAATACAAAAAATTAGCTGGGGTAGTGGTGCATGCCCGTAATCCCAGCTACTTGGGAGGCTGAGGCAAGAGAATGGCTTGAACCCGGGAGGCAGAGTTTGCAGTGAGCCGAGATTGCACCACTGCACTCTATCCTGGGCAACAGAGCGAGACTCCATCTCCAAAAACAGGAAACAAAAGCAAACCTACAGAAAGATACATTTCTTGTGGGATACTTCTTTAAAAACAAAAACAAAGGACAAAGTTTTTTGAGAAAATGTCCTTTTTTATTAGAATATTTTAAAAACAACTGAATTGTATTAATTATTCACAAAAGGAATGACAATCCCCAAATTGGAGTGGATTTCTGGGTGGTTCAAGGAGGCACCTACATGTTTTTGACAGGTAATGACACTGCTAGTTAACAACTCTGGTTGTAGATGGGCAAGACTGGATGGCCATGGGGAGAAAAGAAAGGTGGGGGTGAAACTTTACAGAGAAAGCACCTGAGATGAGGGAAAGGCACCTTAGGTGTGTTTAAATAGCATTACTAAAGCTAAACATTAATCAGGAAAGACAAGCTTTTTTTCTTATCACCCAAGTAACACCTGGTTTGCTTTGCTTACGTTTAAAAATATGTATTTGATCCCAGGAAGGATCTGAGTGATCCAAGTTGGACTAAACAGGAGGCAGTCTCTAGGAAATGCATATTTTTCAAGCAGGAGAATTTCTTTGCCTCTTTTTGTTCAGGATCCCATCATTATATATCTTCAATGAGTGGCAGTTTTTAATAAGAAATTAACTTGCAGAGAGAGAGAGAAATAGACAGGAAGGAAGAGAGGAAGGAAAGAAGGAAGGAAGGAACGGAGGGAGAGACAGAAGGAGGGAGGGAGAGAAGGAAGGAAGGAGATAAATCTGTGATGATGTTGGAATGTACATGTCTCAGTGAGCAGTGACAGATGATCAGCCCTTTCTAAAGATTCCTTAAAGACACAAAATGGTAGGTAGCATTGATCTGACCTTCATACAGGGTAACCATACTTTGGGAAGCCCAAATTGAAATGATGTGATCACTGCCAATGAGTGTTGTGACTTCTAAGTGAGATGGCCCCCCAGACACAGCCACCAGAAGAAGCGTCTGAATTCTCAGAGCTGGTCTTCTCCAGAATATGTGAGAAATCATCAGAAGACATTGAAAACAAGAATGCCCATACCCATTGACCCCTGGGCATTGCTAAGGCATTCTATTGGCTAGAGTCCCTGGTTTATGTTTCAAAATTCTCCAGTTCCAGTGATGGAACAGATGTCTTACTGGTCTTCCCCAAGGAATGGATAGCCAGGACCTCATATCAATGTCAGAATGGGGCTGCACTAACCAGACAGTCCTCTTTATCCTAAACTGTGGGCCACTTGGCCTGGGAAGTTTCTTATTGAAGGGTAAACCCATGTTACCACTGTGAAGTTCATCTCCCACAATTCCTATAATTGGGTTAGTACAGTTCTTGCTCATAGCTAGAGACCTAGTCGTGGCTCTGCCTCATTGGTTCTTCCATGAGGCCATAGGTGGCCTCAAGGTCAAGACATCTGGCAGAATAGAAAGCTTCAGGGTGAGCCATATAAGCCCAGGTTCCGGGCAGCTTGGGAGATCCTGGGAGATTTCCTCCGGGGAAATGGATAGTAAGCTGGTTTGCCAGACCTGTGTGGGTTCTTTATGGAAAGAGGACATTGAGTGCTGAATTTTAAGCCAGATTCCACTGCCTTTGTTTGGGTATTGCCCACCTGGCATGGAAGCTGGGCAGCCTCTGGGATTCCGGTTGCTTGCTGAATCATCTGATTGGCTTCAAACAAGTGTGTGTCTCCTTCAGGAGGGAGCCTTTGGTCAGATTCCACAAGCTTGCCCCTATGATGTACTTGATGACTGGTGTCCTGGGGGAAGGTTTGAACCAAATGATGCATCTCCAGGTGCGTGTGCCACGGAGACTCGGGGGCCTGAAGACAGCCCTGGGCAGCCTCCTCCAGCCTCCCGTCCACCTTGGAATCTGCCTCTTCCAGGGACAGTGAGCTCCTTCTCTCCTTGTTAATCCAAACAGCATTGACTATCGATTCCGCAGGAGCAGGCGCGTTTCCTCCTGAAAAGAGAAAGCACCAGCAGGGTCATCACTGGATGGGACAGGGGCATCTCTCACTTAGGGGGTCTCATTACTTTCAAGCTGAAGGAAGGCCATCCCCAGAAGGTACCTGGTACATTGCATGTGTGTACATGTGTACATACACAGGGTCTCACTTGTATGCTCACACACATGCCCTTTCACACCTCACCCATATATATTCACACACACACAATTATTCATTCGTTCGGCACATATTTATTGAGCACTTAATATGGGCCAGGCATTATTTATTCCAGGTCCTGGGAATACAGCAATGAACATTGAGACAAAACCCATACCTTCCTGGGTGTGTCCTAGTTGAGTAGAGAGACAAAAATGCATATTTATAATGCCTGGAAAATCTCAGGCATAACAGAGGGCCAAACACTGAAGTGAAGGAGGGAACTCTGGGAGGAGATAGGAAACTAGCATTTGGGGCTTAAAGAAAGGCAAAGAGCACACATAGACTCACACACATTTGGGTTCACATATGCTCACCAGTGGAAAACATTATTCTTAACTTATGGGGTTTTGTATTCTGGGATTCTTTTTTTTGTTTTGTTTTTCTTTGTTTGGGACGGAGTCTCACTCCATTGCCCAGGCTGGAGTGCAGTGGTGCAACCTCCGCCTCCTGGGTTCAAGCGATTCTCCTGCCTCAGCCTCCCAAGTAGCTGGGATTACAGGCACCCGCCACCCTGTCTGACTAATTTTTGTATTTTTAGTAGAGATGTGATTTTCACCATGTTGGCCAGGCTGGTTTTGAACCCCTGGCCTCAAGTGATCTGCCCGCTTCAGCCTCCCAAGTGTTGGGATTACAGGCGTGAGCCACTGCACCGGGCTGTGTCCTGGGATTCTGATAGTGGGTTTACAACCCAAGGCAAAAGAGAGGAGTTGTGTTTTGAAGCAGCTCCTTTTAGAGAACGAAACATTATCCTTCTAGTCCACAGGCACTGCTCTGGGAAGACATCTGCAGCATTTACTGCTCCTCAGAACTGGCTTTAGGTGGAAGAGGCAGACCAATGTCTCTTTTTTTTCTTGGGGACTTTTCTTTAAACCACCTAGTGGAATATGATAGTTCATTGTTAACTCTTGGTGGCAGTGACAGGGGTTGGAATGACTGAAAAGCATTTGCCTTATAGAAAGCAAGTGTGTGACCAGTTTGGAGCTCCTCAAAAGTGTCATTTAGGTTCACTTGTCTGTCCCATCACCTGTTATCACAGAAGACCCTGGAGGTGACAGAGCAAGAGTGGGGAGACGATGTCGGAAGAATAAAGTCAGAAGGAAGCCCCTGAGCTCCAATTCCAGGGATCCAAAAGAAACAGAAGACCAGCTGCAGCCATCTCAGCCAACAACTACTGTCCTGTCAACATTAACTCTAGTGTGAGGCTCTCAAGATTTGTTTCGGCTTTGTAACTGCATTAGTTCCTTAGTATTATTTTCCAGCATGAAATGAAGGAAACACTTTTGTTTTGTTTTGTTTTGTTTTGTTTTATTTTATTTTATTTTTGAGACAGAGTCTTGCTCTGTTGCCCAGGCTGAAGTGCAGTGGCGCGATCTTGGCTCACCGCACCCTCCGCCCTCCGCCTCCTGGGTTCAAGCGATTCTCCTGCCTCAGCCTCCTGAGTAGCTGGGTCTACAGGTGCCCGCCACCACACCTGGCTAATTTTTTTTTTTTTTTTTTGTATTTTTAGTAGAGACGAGGTTTCACTGTGTTAGCCAGGATGGTCTCGATCTCCTGACCTTGTGATCCACCTGCCTCAGCCTCCCAAAGTGCTTGGATTGCAGGCATGAGTCGCTGCACCCGGCCGAAGGAAACTTTTATAAATATCCAACCTGTTATGTACCTATTTGAGAACAAGGAAGGAGGGAGACACAATGAGAGAACCTAGAAACTGGTATCCTCTCCCATCACGAGTTTAGAAGGAAAGGACTGAAGGTGGACAGTCTTGTTCAACTGTCAGTCCCAGCCTGCGGTTCAGAGGAAAGGAAAGAGAGTTCGGCTGGGAGGTACACAGGGATCCCACCCCAAAGCAGCCTCTGCTGAGAATCACCATGAGCCTTCTGTGGCAGTACCCTCCACATCTTGGGATGGTGCCTGCTCTTCACTGTACAAGAGAAAGAGAATTAGGGTAATTGCCTGAAGAGTACAGGGAAATTTTGTATCATGTTTTTTATCTGTTTTGTTTTGGTTTTGGTCAGTTAGGGACTGGCGATGAAGGAAATGTACTCGTTATCTATAATACTTTCTTCATTCTTCATCTTTGATTCACTTCGCTAGGAGATACAAATTGGAGAAGGGATATTTTGAGCCCCTCCTTGATTTCTCTCTTCAGTGGGGATGGAGGAAGTGGGTGGAGAGAATAACGAAGAGAGTGGTAGGGAGACTCAGGGAGGAAAGAAGAATCAAAATTCATCCTAACTGCCTGAGACCTTTGGTGGAGCTGCTCTCATCAAGCCAGAGTCAGGCAGACATGAGGTCTGGTCCTGAGTTCACCACTGACTCACTAGGAGACCCTAGGCCTCCATTTCCTCATCTATAAAATGGAGATCTTAAAAAGGGAGCTACCTTACAGGGCTGCTAGGAATGTTCAATGAAATGTAATATAAAACATCCAGCCCAGATATAAGTCCCGACCCTAATCCCTTTTTCTACATAAGGCGAGTCACACAGTGTCTGACTGCGACAAAAGCATATTCCTTTTGGATATCAATCACTGGGGGTAATTGGGGCTCCACAGACTTCTGAGAGTAGCTCAAGTTCCCCTGAGAACTTGCGTTGCATCAGGGAAGGCACACTGCTACTTGTAACTGAATTTCCAGAACCTGGATCCATCGCATAATGCTAAGACGGGGTGAAGAAAGCTAATTTTGGAGCCCTTCCTTTCATCGATCAGCTCCTAGAATTTCTGAGCTTCTAAATGCAAACCAATGTCTTGAGACATTGACTTCTAGCTTTCGCAGGAGCCCAATCTCAATGCTCACTCTGTCTTCCTGGGTCTCTCTGCTGCAATAGGCACTGAGGATCATGGTCCTCTAAAATCCCTCTACCAACTTGGCTTCATGACATTAATTGCTCTTGATTTTTTTCTACCACTTAAAATATGTTTAATTGTGGTAAAATATATAGAGCATAAAATGTACCATCTTAACCATTTTTAAGTGTACAGTTTAGTAGTGTTCAGTACATTCACGTTATTGTGGACCCAATCTCCAGAACTCTTCAGCTTCCCTAACTGACACTCTATAAGCATTAAACAATAACACCCCACTTCCCCGTGCCCCAGCCTCTGGCAACCACCATTCTGCTTTCTTTCTGTCTCTCTATATATGACTACTCCCATTTACTCATGTAAATAGGATTATATAGTATTTGTCTTTTTGGGACTGACTGACTTTACTCAGCATAATGTCCTCAAGTTTTATCCATGTTGTAGTATATGGCAGAATTTCTTTCCTTTTTATGGCTGAATGATATCCCTCTCCTCAAATTTTGACTGCTCTCTCCATCTTCCCTGGCTTCATTTCTTCCTCTTGTTCCTTAAATATTTGAGTATTCCAGAACTCTAACTTTCATCCCAGTTTCTTATTAATTTACACATGGATTTGCCACAATTTTATCCATGCCCATGGCTTCAGCTACCATCTATAGATGAATGACCCCAAATCTAGATCTCCAGCCCGACTGAGATCCAGGCTGGATGGAAGGTCTACAGGCAACTATCTCCAATGCAGTATATTGAAAAACAAGTTAATCTCTCTCTATTAAAAACCTTTTCTCCTGTATTCTCAAGGAAACATATCACCATCTATCCTGTTGCTAAAGTATAGGGGACAATTAATTGCTCTTTTGCCTCCTTAGTGTCATTTTCACCTTATTTTTGTCACCTTACCCTGATTTTTCCCTGGAGAATTACCTGCTCCTTCACATTCAGTGCCAGTGTTTCCAATGGCCTTCCTACTCAGATGCATGTGACATATTTGATCTTGTCCTCAGTCAATCAGTGCATAAAGCCTTGATGAGTTTTATACATATTAATTCATTTGATTCCTGCAATAACCCTATGATTTGGGTACTACAGTTATTCCCAATTGACAGGTGAGGAAACTGAGCCCCAGAAAATTTACGTAACTTGTTTAAAGCTGCATATTAAGTAAATGGCAGAACTGGAACTCAAACTCAGGCTGTGCTCCAAGACCCAGTACGTGACCACTCCATTATACAGTATGCTGCCTCTCACAGTTAGATAAAGAATGTGAAACTCAGCCGAGCATGGTGGCTCACGCCCAGCACCTTTGAAGGCTGAGGTGGGCGGATCACCTGAGGTCAGGAGTTCAAGACCAGCCTGGCCAACATGGCCATCAACCCCATCTCTACTAAAAAAAATATAAAAATTAACTGGCCATGGTGGCAGGTGCCTGTAATCCAGCTACTCAGGAGGCTGAGGCAGAGATAATTGCTTGAACCTGGGAGGCAGAGGTTTCAGTGAGCCGAGATTGCACCACACTGCACTCCAGCCTGGGTGACAGAGTGAGAATCTGTGTCAAAAAAAAAAAAAAAAAAAAGGTGGAACTGCAAACTGCTGAAAGTGCCCTGAATGACCCTGATGTAGCCGGAAGGTCAGAAGTCTTCTTGGAGAAAACCACACCTGGGCACTCCTTGCATGAACCATAATTTAGCACCTGGTAACGATGGGAAAGGGGGCACTGAGTTACCAAGAGCAGGAGAAAGGATGAGCACAGGGGATAGTGAATTCTCTGGGGGTGTGTTGAATTTGAGATGTCTTTGGATCACCCCCACTAAGCAATTAGATTTGTAAGTCTGAATTGCAGGTGTATTAAGCATGGTGTTTCCTTTTGAAGGGATTTAAATTAATAAATGTTTGTTGAATAACTGAATGAATAAACACCCTCCGGGGTGGGATAGAGCTTTAGGAACATTTCAGTTTATGCCCTGCAGAGATGGTGACTGGCTGTGCCAGTTCACTCCTGCCAGGAATGGGCAGGATCCCATTGGTTGGCAACAGCCCAGGTAATGGGAGATGGGCTCCTTCAGCTCAGAGGTGCCACTTTTGTTCCCAGAAAGCAGCACACTTCCTGCCTTAGACAGAGAGGTCCCTCTGGCCCCTGATTTTTGCCCAGTCTGTACTGGCAAAGGGCAGCCCAAAGAGTCTGCTGAACTCTACAAATAACCACAGAATCCCACAGAGCCCAGCTTTGACCTTTCAGGGCATCTTCCCTTCTCCCTCAACCTGTTCCTCTGTTAGAGGAGGAAGGGCTGGGATTTGACAAGCCCTTGGTTTCTGAGCCCTGTGCCTCTAACTTCCTCCTGGAATGAAATCTGAGTTCCCAAAGGGAGGAGGTTTCTCCCCATGAGTGGGGTAGGGGATTTCTGTGTCCAATCACACCTCCTTGCCTAATGTTTGAGGCTGGATGAGCCTGGGATGCCTCATGGGTCTCTGAGCCCTAGGCGTCCTCTGGCCCAGACAGTTCCCAGGCTGTTGGGAACGCCATGTCTTCTACCGCCAGAGTGAATTTCTCTGGTCTGTAGGAGGTGCCTTAGTTAGACCCAGCCAGGAAGCAGAGCTCCTATCACCATACCTGAGCTAGCAGGGGGGCCAAGCCTCCAGGCTGACCAGTCTAGCAAGATCAGAACATCAGAGCAGAGGCCAGGAACAGTGCTGGCAGCCAGGTGCTTGGCTGAGGCCCCTGGCTCCCTTAGCAGGTGGGACAGCTGAGCAGAGCTGCTCTGAGCCCGCCTCCCTTGCTCTTCCCCACTGGGAGGGAGGGCTGGCAAAGCCCTGGCTCTGCCTCCCTGCGGCTCTGCCACTCAGTCCTCCCACGGTCAGTCTCTCCTTCCCCAGCCCCTGTCCATTCCTACCTTTCGGAAGCACCAGGAGGTGGGCCTGGGTCCTCTGCTGCCTCTTCAAGCCTTCATACTGGGCTCGCAGGAAGTGGATGCTGAGTGGGGGCCCTTTCCCAGGGGCCTGAGTCCTGGAGCCCTCAGCCATGAAGCGAGATCCAAGCTGCCAGAAGTGGGGCAGGGCTGGGCATGGGCAGGGCAACCCCTCCATCCGGATCCGGGAGAAAAGCAAACAGAGCTGAGTGGGGCAGGACCCGGGGAGGAGGAGAGAGGGAGGGGGCAATGAGGGAGAAGGAGAAGTGACGGGCAAAAGGAGGGTGGAAAGGGGAGTGGGACTGAGGAAGGAGATAGAAAAATAAGGGGGAAGGAGAAAGATGAACAGGAGGAGGAGGTAGGGAGAGGGAGATATGGGGGGGAGGAGAAAGGTGGGAGACAGGGGCAGTAAGAGAAGGAAAGGTCGGAGGAAAGAAGGGGCAGCGAAGGGGGAAAGACTGGAGGGAGGAGGTGATAGTGACAAGGGGGGATTAATGGGGTGAGAGAAGAAAGGGAGGAAGAAGGAGACAGGCAGGAGGAGGCAAGGAAAGGAGTGATGGGGAGTAGGAGATTGAGAAGTAAGGGGAGAACTGGGGGAGCAAAGAGAAAGGCAAGCTCAGCTGCTCAGAGCCCTTCAGGGAGGTCAAGAAGGTATCTTACTCCAGGTCCTTTCATTGCTTGATCCTAAAGTTTAGAATCCAATTCCCAGTGCTACGGTGAAGTCTCCCATTTCTTGAGAGAGCTGGGACTGGGCCTGGGGAATGCTAAGCACCCTCTTGGCTCACACATTTTGGACTGGAACGTGGCGACTTTTCAGCAAACCTGCTGGTTGGGTTTGCAGTAGTTCAAAGAACACTCTCGGGAGCTTCACAAGGCCAGTGCTTCTGGATGTGTGCCCCGCGGCCACACCCTAAAGAAACCCAGTAGCAAAGATCTCCCCAAGATCTCCACTCAGACCCCAACACACACCCCAGGTGAAAATCCAGCCCCAAAGCCAGCCATGGGACAAAACCCAGGGAAATCTTGGCCTCTGGCCAGCCCCGCCCCTTGGACACTTGGTGTAGCCTCTGCCGTCTCAGCATTTTCCAACCAAGTGGTAAGTTAGGCATCCCCTCAACCTGTGCTTGCCAGCCCCAACATTTCCACATCACTTTTGAATCCCAGACCCTCTCCCTCTTACACCAGCTTTGACCTAGCCTTGCTGCATTTGGTCAACTAAGTGCCTTTCTATCTTCTCCTATCATGGTGCTTACTGATTACCCAATTACCCAATATGTCTACAGAGGCAATGGAAACAGAGTAGAGCCTGAACCTACGAGACATTTTGGACATTAACCAAATACGATCTAGTTATTTGATGTGGGGGAGCAGTGGAAGATGGAGAGCAAATCTTCACTGGGTAGCATATGTTAGTTTTGCTAGGTCTGCCATAACGAAAACCCATAAACTGGATGTCTTAATCCACAAACATTATTGTCTCTTAGTTCTGGAGGTTAGAAGAGAAGGGTCAAGGTATGAGCAGGGTTGGTTTCTTCTTGGAGCTATGTGAGAGTATCTGTTCCATGCCTCTCATCTTGTTTCTGATGGTTTGCTGGCAATCTCTGGTATTCCTTGGCTTGCAAAAACATCGCCTAATCTCTGCCTTTATCTTCACATGATGTTCTTCCTATGTGGGTGTCTCTGTATCCAAATTTCCCTCTTTTATAAGTACAGTAATCGCATTGGATTAGAGCTCAATCTGTCTCAAAAAATACAGAGAGAGATAGCCAAAGCCTCCTCATACCTTTTTATCGGTAGGTCGCTCTATCATGAAGGCAAGAGCAACCCATCTGTGCTGGACCAGCTGCACTTGCCACGAAATCATGGTAGTAGACATCACGGCAGTAGGCTGGCCACAATGGCTCACAACTGTAATCCAAGTACTTTGGCAGGCTGAGGTGGGTGTGTTGATTATGCCCTGGAGTGCAGGACCAGCCTGGGCAACATGGTGAAACTGTATCTACAAAAATTAGCCAGGCATGGTGGCACATGCCTGTAGTCCAAGCTACTTGGGTGGCTGAGGTGGGATGATTGCTTGAGCCCAGAAGCTCAAGGCTGCAATGAGCCATGATTGCACCACTGCACTTCAGTCTGGGTAACAGAGTGAGCTCCTGTCTTAGAAAAGAAAAGAAAAGAAAAGAAAAGAAAAGAAAGGAAAGAGAAATAATGGCAGTAGAAATTGATTTCTACTATATTTTGGCATTTACTTGTCAGCCTTTTTCTTTTAGTATTAACAGTTTTTGTCTTTTTCTATATGTGCATATTTGTGGATATTTTGATGAGAAGTAAACTGAGGCTATCTGCTTCTGATTGAATGCTTTTTAGGAGTTTAAATTCTTTCTTTTAGTTAATATAATTCCTCTTTCTTTTAAAACTCAAATCTTTAATCCCTTTGAAATTTATTTTAGTGTTGTGTTAGGTATAAGGCAAGGATCTAGGAATTTTTTTCCTCCAAATAATTGCCCAGTTGTTTCAATAGCACTTACTGAATAAACTTTCCTTTCCCTTGGACTGTGATAACAATAACAATATTACAAGAAAAAATTGGCAACTTCATCTCATCCCAGGGAGTCTTCAGAAATAAACAAGAAAAGATGATCAAGCCTGGAGTTTGTTCTGAGTGGCTGCCACTAAACGGGTGACTTTTATTATCCAGGTAGATCCTCCAGAGGAACTGGAAATAAGCTTCAAAGTTGTTCAGGGCTTGAGACGCTGGAGTAGGAATAAGATGTCTTGTTATTCTAGGGAATATTTTGTTTTTCTGTATGTATGCAAACTGTATGGAACATGAAATGTCCCATTCTGGTGGAGAGGTAAGACTGTGCATAATGTAGCATGTTGGTTCATTACAGAAACAGGAACCAGCATCCCTACAGCCCTCCCTGGAGCTTCAAGTAAAATAACTTAAACCAGAGGTCCACTCCTGTCCAAGGGATCCAGCTATTCTGTGAGACTTGAGTGGCAGCAGGTATCACTTACAACTGGGGCACTACTCCAGAGAGAATGACTCAGACTGTAACCCTGTCCATGAAAAGGCCAGTCATTGGTGGGTAGAGATTCAGAGACTTGAAGAAGGATCCCTTAGGGAGCTGGCTTGAGAGCAGTAGGCTGGGACAGCTCAGTATACACTGGGGGCGAGACAGGAGTGGTGGATCCTGTTCTTGTGAAGAACTTTTCAGTTTGGGGTTCTTTCCACTGGAGACTCCCAGAAAACTTGAGTTACCCTGTTCTTTCACTTTTCCTCTCCCCGATAATAAGTTCACTCTGAGATTATCCCACCGCTGAAGCCTAGTGATCTAGCCTTAGAGAGTCCAAGAGGGCAAGACTGCAAGGGATGGGAGGCCTCCCTGTGCTCTCTTCTCTCTGGTTCCAATGAGGAGGGGACCTCGTCCTATGGAGTGGACTGTGATTTGCAGGTGTATGAATGACAGTGTCCACAGGAGAGCCAAGTATGACCAGGAAGGACTCAGGTTGTCAAGAAGTGCTTCAGGGCAGACAGACCCAAAAACTCAAAACTCTCAGCCTTAAGAATAAGGGAGATTCTTCTCTGAAAAAAGAGAGGCTAGGCTAGACATATGAAAACAATAGTTATAACCATTGAGCTAAAACTGCAATGGGTCAGATATGTGCTAATTACTCTATGTAAATGATCAATTTTTTCATTATGGTAATATTTGTGTAAATGAAATTGACCATTTTAACAATTTTTCAGTGTACAGTTCAGTGGCATTGCATTCATTCACAGTGCCCTGCAACAATCACCATTATTTCCATTGTTTCCCTCATCACAAACAGAAAGTCTGTACCCATTAAATAATAACTGCCTATCCCTACTTCCCTGCATCCCTGGCAACCTCTACTATACTTCCTGTCCCTGTGACTTTGGTACCCAATGTAATTGGAATCATACAATATTTGCAATATATGTGACTGACTTATTTCACTTAGCATGTTGTCAAGGCCCATTCATGTTGTAAACATTCATCAGAACTTCATTCCTTTTTATGGCTGAATAATATTCCATTGTATGAATAGGCCACAGTTTGTTTACCCATTCATCTGTTGATGGACATTTTGGTTTTTTCCACCTTTTGGCTATTGAGAATAGTGCTGCTATGAACATTGGTATATAAGTGTGTGTTTGCGTTCCTGCTGTGAATTCTTTTGGAATAGCTGGTTTATATAATAATCCTATGTTTAGCTTTTTTGAGGAACCTGGACAAAATTTAATTTAATTTCTCATGAGAACACTATGAGAGAAGCAACATTACTATCCTTTCTCCTTCACCTTGTACACCCAAACCATCTCTAGGCCTGGGAGATACAAGCTCTAAAAGATACCTGAAATCTGGCCGGGTGCGGTGGCTGACACCTGTTATCCCAGCACTTTGGGAGGCCAAGGTGGGTGGATTGCCTGAGGTCAGGAGTTCAAGACCAGCCTGACCAACATGGTGAAACCCAGTCTCTACTAAAAATACACAAAATTAGCCAGACATGGTGGCAGGCACCTGTAATCTCAGCTACTGGGAGGCTGAGGCTGGAGAATCACTTGAACTGGGAGGCAGAAGTTGCAAAAAAAAAAAAAAAAAAAAAAAAAAAGATACCTGAAATCCATGTATTTCTCTCCATCTCCACTGTCATCCACCTAGCCTATGCTGTCCTCATTTCTTTTTCTAAGACCACTGCAACAGCTTCTTACCTGTACCCTCCCTCCCACTTCCACACCTGTCCTCTCATCCATTGATCCATTGACCTCACAGCAGTTAGTGTTCTCCAAAAGACACAAAGCAAATCAGATCCCGTGGCTTCTCTCCCAGTTAAATCCTTCAGTGGCTTCCCAATATACTTGCATTCGAATCCTTCTTATGACCCAGGGGCTTGTGCCTGTCTTGGGTCTGTCTCACCTATCCAGTCTCTGTGCCAACGTTCCCCTTGCTCTCTACTTTCTAGAAAAGATTTCCTATAAGTGGGTTCCAGATATGCCTATGACTGAGACCCACAACTCCTGGGTCAGGTGTCTCCAGCCACAAATAGCTTCTGCATTTATTCCAGTGATCCATACAAATAGTGTCATTTTCTAGGTGTGCCATGATGTGAAAGAGGGGAGAAAAGTATTCTCACCGCTTTAGCCTTCTCTGAAGGAATTTCTTGAATTTCCCCAATGTCTTTCCCTCCTTGCGCTTTGGTATGTGCTGTTCTTTGTCTTCTAGAATACACCTTTACTTACTTTCACCTCAACCGTATCTTCATTATATTTCCATCCTTGGAAGCACCCACATGTCCCCTAGCTAACTTGTAAACACCTTCAGTTCTCAGCTTTAAAAAGTGGTACAATGTAAGGATTGAGAGCATGAACTACGAAGCTAGACTACGTGGGTTTGCGTCCTCTCTTCTCTATTCTTAGCTACTCTACCCTTGCTCTCTAGAGTCAAGTGTGCCTTTGGGCTAGTTAAGTAACTGGAGTCTTGCTCTGTCACCCAAACTGGAGTGAAGTGGCGTGATCTCGGCTCAATGCAAGCTCAGCCTCCTGGGTTCAAACGATTCTCCTGCCTCAGCCTCCTGAATAGCTGGGACTACAGGTGTGCACTGCCACACCCGGCTAATTTTTGTATTTTTAGTAGAGATGGGGTTTCACTATGTTGGCCAGGCTGGTCTTGAACTCCTGACCTCAGGTGATCTGCCTGCCTTGGCCTCCCAAAGTGCTGGGATTACAGGCGTGAGCCACCACAGCCGGCCTAAGATGTCCTTTCTTAGCAGTATGCCTTTGGGCCAGTTACTTAACTTCACTGTGCCTGCAGATACAGCAATTACCAAAGAGAAGGAGGCGGCTTGAGCTGAGCAAACAAGCAAAACAGACTCCATCAAGCATTGCCTTCCAGGTGCCAGGCACGTGGAAATATTGCGCATGTGTTGACTCATTTAATCTGTTTAATTCTATAAGGTAGATGCCAAATTATTATTAGTATCATCCCCATTTTCCAGATGGGAAACTTGAAACTCAGCAAGGGACTTTCCAACTCCAAATGCTTTTTCTCTCCCGAGCATCACTGCTCTATGCCAGTTACATATAGAGTAATATATTGGAATGCTATTTGCCTGGGAACAGTAAAGACCTGGTCTCTAGCCTTGATCAGGATCCAGGTGTAGTCAGCAGATCCCAGTCTGGTTAATTTAAGCAGAAAGAGATTTCACATGGGGAATTGGTGCTAGTAAGATTATTAGGAAAGCAGAAAGAGCAACAGTAGGCCTCCAGACCACTCTTCCTCTACCCTTGTAGTTTTTCCAAAGATGGTATAAACACTATCTTTCATCTCATGCACCCTTTGGCAACTGAGCTTGCCATTCCTTCATCAAGAGGTAGAGCCTATATCACTTTCTTAAGTGTGAATTGGTTGAGTGGTATCATTTGGCCAACAGAATGTGGTAGAAATGACTCTGTGCCTGTACCTGGTGTAGCCCTAACTGCAGCTTCTGGCAGCTTCTGATTCCTGCTTTTTGGAATGTTGGGATGTGCCTCCTCTGAGCCTGGATACCAAGGTGTGGGCAGCCTGAACAACACGGTGAGGTGTGTCACGGTAGGTGTATCAGCCACCAAATTCTGCTGAATTCCCAGCCAATAGCTGGCTTCAACTGCCAGAGAGTGAGCCCCCAGGACATCCAGCCTAGTGTTGCCATAAAATAACTGTAGCCCAGTGCACATCTGAATGTAACTTCATAAGAGAGCCCGAGGGAAACTTACCTATTTGAGCCCAGTTTATGCTTAGACCAGGAGAAGTAATAATAAATTTTGTTTTAAGTCACTAAGTTTGGGGATTGTTCATTACACAGCAACAGATAACTGGAATATTTCTGATTGTGAATGAATATAGTACCACTGCTGCTGAATCTGCTGAACAGAAAAACCACCTGCCAAACTGGGAAACTTCCAAGACAGCTCTTTGCCCCCAAATCACCCCACCTGGGCCATGAACCACACCTACAAAATGGGCGCCTGCATCCAT